GAAAGTGGGGTTTATATATCATTGGAATAATGTCCAAGATGGAAGAAATAATTCTTGTCTGCTTGAGCCAAGTGTGAATGTTGCCATTGGTCATCCAAATTAGCATGAATGAACTAACCAGGCTTTGAAGCTACAAGGCCATTCAATGCTGATCAATGGCAAACTCTAAAACCAGGATAGTAAATAGAATGGCAACACTAAAAAAAGCGGGGGAATTCCAGAGAAGAATCGATCAGGGCCAGCAAACACCTCCCAACAAAGGATACCCCAGGTGGCAACCGGCCAGGCTTTGAAGCTGCAAGGCCATTCAATGCTAATAATGCTAAACTCTAAAATCAGGGCTGTAAATAAAGAGCAATGCTAAAAAAAAACCAGGGAAATTCCAGATAAGAATCGATCAGGGCCAGCGAACACCTCCCAACAAAGGATACCCCAGGTGGCAACAGGCCAGGCTTTGAAGCTGCAAGGCCATTCAATACTAATAATGCCAAACTCTAAAATCAGGGCTGTAAATAAAGAGCAACACTCAAAAAACAGGGGAATTCCAAGCAAGGATCAATCAGGGCCAGCAAACACCTCCCAACAAAGGATCCCCCAGGCAGCAACCAGCCAGGCTTTGAAGCTGCAAGGCTATTCAATGCTAATAATGCCAAACTCTAAAATCAGGGCTGTAAATAAAGAGCAATGCTAAAAAAACAGGGAAATTCCAGATAAGAATCGATCAGGGCCAGCAAACACCTCCCAACAAAGGATCCCCAGGAAGCAACCAGCCAGGCTTTGAAGCTGCAAGGCCATGAAATGCTAATAATGCCAAACTCTAAAATCAGAGCTGTAAATAAAGAGCAATGCTAAAAAAACAGGGGAATTCCAGACAAGAATCAATCAGGGCTAGCAAACACCTCCCAACAAAGGATACCCCAGGTGGCAACCAGCCAGGCTTTGAAGCTGCAAAGCCATTAAATGCTAATCAAGGTGGCCAATTGCAACATTCACACTTGCCTCCAACACACAAAAGATTTTTCTCTCATCCTGGACATCATTCCACAGATATATAAACCCAATTTTCCTAGTTTCCAACAGACCTTACTAACTCCGAGGATGCCTGCCATAGATGTGGGCGAAACGTCAGGAGAGAATGCTTCTGGAACATGGCCAGACAGCCCGGAAAACTCACAACAATGCAGTATCTTTGACAACACAATATTATAGAACATGTAACGTTGACTCCAGACACATCTATACTGTGGAATGAATGCAGTTTGATGCCACTTGAACTGCTCGATGGCACAGGATGCTGGAAATTACAGTTTTGTAAGATCTTAAGTCCAGGTTGCTGACCAAACTACAACTTCCAAGACTTGAGATACACTCTAATACAGGCATGGGCAAACTTTGGCCCTCCAGGTGTTTTGGACGTCAACTCCCACAATTCCTAACAGCCTACCGGCTGTTAGGAATTGTGGGAGTTGCAGTCCAAAACACCTGGAGGGCCAAAGTTTGCTCCAATATATCCCTTTCAACAAGGACCAATGCTTCCATTTATTCACACGTACATTTAAAAAATACAGATAATATAGACAAGCATATAGATAGGTCCATATGTAAATCTATGCAGATTTCTAGCCAAAGGGCTTGATGTTGGCGTGGGTTCGGGAAGCAAGCTGCACAACGTGACTCAAAAGGCACCCGCCGGAAAGAAATCCACGGTGCCGGGCTTGTTTTTGAATGGGTTTTCATGCCATCCGCCGCCTCCTCCCACCATCCCCAACGCAGACAGGGAAAGGAAGCAAAGCGGGCAGCGTGTGCGTCACGAAATGCGTTCGTTGGATGGGAAGAAGGCAGCGAGCATCCTTGCACTGGAAAAGATGCAGGGATGGAGCCTCTTCTTGCATTCTAGCGCCCAGGAAGCATTGCCCTCAACCTTTGCCATCTCCACCTCCAAGTCAACATTCTAGAGGGACTACAGGACCCAGCATCCCCCATCACTGGCACTGCCCAATGTTGTTGGGCTTGGCCTCATGTAAGCCGCCCCAAGTCCCTTGGGGAGATGGTGGTGGGGTATCAATAAATTATTATTATTATTATTATTATTATTATTATTATTATTATGGAAGCTATGGGTCCAGCAACATCCCTAAGGCCTCAAATTATAATCATGCAAGTCTTCCCAATTTCTACGGACTGCATCTCCAAGCATCTCCCATCTCTGGTGATGGGAGTTGTAGTCCAATCACATCTCAAAGGCCCGTTTGCCCACACATCACAATCAAGTAGTTCAAGTAGTTCTCCCCAAAGGCTACAGAATGCATCTCTCGGTAACCCCATCCCTGGTGATGGGAGTTGTAGTCCAATCACATCTCAAAGGCCCCTGTGCAACCCAAATCACTATCCAGTAGTTCTCCCCATTGGCTACAGAATGCATTTCTCAGCACCCCGCATCCTTGGTGATGGGAGTTGTAGTCCAACCACATCTCAAAGTAGTTCTTTCCAATGATGACAAACTGCATCTTCTGGCACTCCCGATCCCTGGTGATGGGAGTTCTAGTCCAACCACATCTCAAAGTAGTTCTCTCCAATGATGATGAACTGCATCACCCAGCATCCCTGGCAATGGAAGTTGTAGTCCAATCAGATCTCAAAGGCCCCTTTGCCCCCAAATCACAATCAAGTAGTTCTCTCCAATGACGACGGACTGCATCTCCCAGCATCTCCCATCCCTGGCGATGGGAGTTGTAGTCCAATCATATCTCAAAGGTCCCTTTGCCCACAAATCACAAGTAGTTCTCCCCAATGATGGACTACATCTCCCAGCATCCCCCATCCCTGGCAATGGGAGTTGTAGTCCTATCACATATCAAAGGTCCCTTTGCCCACAAATCACAAGTAGTTCTCCCCAATGATGGACTACATCTCCCAGCACCCCCATCCCTGGTGATGGGAGTTGTAGTCCAATCATATCTCAAAGATCCCTTTGCCCCCAAGTCACAATCAAGTAGTTCTGCCCAATTATGATGGACTGCATCTCCCAGCATCCCCCATCCCTGGCGATGGGAGTTGTAGTCCTATCACATCTCAAAGGCCCCTGTGCAACACAAATCACAATGAAGTATTTCTTCCCAATGGCTGTGGACTACAGATCCCAGTATCCTATATCACCGGTAGTCCAGTGGCATCAAGAAGGTCCTGGCCATATATTTATAATATTATGTTACCCAAGAGGGCTTCTAAATGGCAAGGATGGGCAATGCCCGGGTTTCCAAAGCACGGAGCTAATAGCACTTAAAGTGGTGTCAAACTGCATCCGTTCAACAGTGTAGATGCATTTCCCTATGGATTTCCCATCCTTGATCAAAACTGCTCCTTAAAAACACTTTTATCGCCCATCTGAATGAACAGCCTAGACTTCTGCGCATGCACAGAGACTATAATCCACCAGGAAAATCAAGACATCCATTGATATTGGGACTCGAACCTGCCTGCAAAACATATTCTCTGCACCTGGGTGAAGATTCCCTTTCTACAAACCATCACAGCTGTAACATGTTGGGATCTTAAGCCTTATTAAACCTGGACCACTAAAAACAACAACACTCTGCACATGCTCTTGGTTGGCTGCTTGACCCGGACCACCAAAAGAAAACACTCTGCACATGCTCTGGGTTGGTTGCTTGACCCGGACCACCAAAAGAAAACACTCTGCACATGCTCTGGGTTGGCTGCTTGACCCAGACCAACATAAAAAACACTCTGCACATGCTCTGGGTTGGCTGCTTGACCTGAACCACCAAAACAAAACACTCTGCACATGCTCTGGGTTGGCTGCTTGACCCAGACCAACATAAAAAACACTCTGCACATGCTCTGGGTTGGTTGCTTGACTTGAACTAACAAAAAAACACTCTGCACATGCTCTGGGTTGGTTGCTTGACCCAAACCACCAAAAAAAAACAACACTCTGCACATGCTCTGGGTTGGCTGCTTGACCTGAACCACCAAAAAAAACACTCTGCACATGCTCTGGGTTGGCTGCTTGACATAGACCACCAAAAAACCGCACTCTGCACATGCTCTGGGTTGGTTGCTTGACCCGGACCACCAAAAGAAAACACTCTGCATATGCTCTGGGTTGCTTGCTTAACCTGAACCACCAAAAGAAAACACTCTGCACATGCTCTGGGTTAGTTGCTTGACCCAAACCACCAAAACAAAACACTCTGCACATGCTCTGGGTTGGTTGCTTGACCCAGAAAATCAAAAGAAAACACTCTGCACATGCTCTGGGTTGGTTGCTTGACCCAGAAAATCAAAAGAAAACACTCTGCACATGCTCTGGGTTGGTTGCTTGACCCAAACCACCAAAACAAAACACTCTGCACATGCTCTGGGTTGGCTGCTTGACCCGAACCACCAAAAAACAACACTCTGCACATGCTCAGGGTTGGTTGCTTGAGTTTCTATCTTGCAGAAGACTTCTAGGAAAAGACTTATAGAAAATGCTCAGGGAAAAAAACACTGGGTTGTTGTAGGTTTTCCAGGCTATATGGCCATGTTCTAGAGGCATTTTCTACGTTTCGCCTGCATCTATGCAAGCATCCTCAGAGGTTAGTGAGGTCTGTTGGGGGAACGTCAGGAGAAAATGCCTCTAGAACATGGCCATATTGCCCGCAAAAACCTACCACAACCCAGTGATTCCAGCCATGAAAGCCTTTGACAATACAAAAAAAACCCACTCTGCACATGCTCTGGGGACAGTGCTGGAAACATCAATCCCAAAGGGTGCCTCTGAGCATAGGCAGAGTGGTTTTTGAACTTTCAATACTGAACCAAGATCTTACACTGGTAGGATGGAGAGATAGGAGGTTACAATGAGGAGGGGGGGGGAGAGATGGAGAGGAAAAGATGCCTCTGAGCTTATGCAGAGTTTTTTTGTATTGATTTGAGAACAAGAATGGGAATCCCGCTGGCCCAAAGCAGGAAAGGGAAACCTCCTTTTGCCTTACCTCTTTCTTGACATTCCAGAGCAGCTTCTCCTTGGCTGCCTCTCCAGAGCCGCTCATGGTGAGGCCAGGAGGGGCCAAGGCTGGCTGGCCCTCTGCGCCAAGGGAGCCTCTCCTCTGGCTCTGCCTTCAGCAGCAGCAGCAGCAGCCATGCCCTGGCCCCGCCCCGCAGTGACGTCACGCCTCCTGGCCACGCCTCTTTCCCCGGGGAAAGCAAGCAGGGAGGGAGGGGGGATTGTTGGGTCACAATAGGGGAGGGGCTCCTGGAGCAAGGAGGGCTGTTGGCATTGCAATTGGCACAGCTACCTATGCCAGGCTGACACAGTTCACATCTTGGAGAGATAGAGATACATACATACATGTGCAGCATATATATGTGTGTGTGTACAAATATATAGATAGATATAGACAGATATAGTTATATAGATAGATAGATGATAGATAGATAGATAGATGATAAATGTGTGTTTGCATATGTATATACAATATATATATGCATTTATTTATTTATTTATATACCACCCCTCTCAGCCCGCAGGCGACTCATATATGTGCGTATAATATATGTGTATGTATATATAGATGATAAATGTGTGTTTGCATATGTATATATACAATATATATCCATGAGTGTGTGTATATATATAGATAGATGATAAATGTGTTTTTGCATATGTATATATACAATATATCTCCATATGAGAGTGTGTACATATATAGATAGATGATAAATGTGTTTGCATATGTACATATACAATATATATACATATATTTGTGTGTATAGATAGATGAGAAATGTGTTTGCATATGTATATATATTTAAAGTATATACATATGTGCGTATAGTATGTGTGTGTATATATATATGGTTATAAAGATGAGAAATATATAGATACATTAGAAATGTGTTTGCATATGTATATATATAAAGTACTAGCTGTGCCCTGCCACGCCTTGCTGTGGCCTATAGTAAAACTTATCAAAGTTGAGGTAGATATCTGGACTATTATGTGTGTGCAGCGGCGGGGGGAATGATGGAGCCTGGGGTTGCGTGTGTGTGTGCGGCGGGAGTGGGGTTGCGTGTGTGTGGCGGCGGGGTGATGGAGCGTGGGGTTGCGTGTGTGTGTGTGTGGCGGCGGGGAGTGAGGGGGCGTGGGGTTGCGTGTGTGTGTGCGGCGGGGGGAGTGATGGAGCATGGGGTTGTGTGTGTGTGTGCAGCGGCGGGGGGAGTGGGGTTGCGTGTGTGTGGCGGCGGAGGGAGTGATGGAGTGGGGTTGCGTGTGTGTGTGCGGCGGTGGGGGGAGTGGGGTTGCGTGTGTGTGTGTGCGGCGGCGGGGGAGTGGGGTTGCGTGTGTGTGTGGCGGCGGGGAGTGATGGAGGCCGGGGGTTGCGTGTGTGTGTGCGGCGGCGGGGGAGTGATGGAGCGTGGGGTTTGGCGTGTGTGTGTGCGCGGCGGGGAGTGATGGAGCGTGGGGTTGCGTGTGTGTGTGGCGGCGGTGGGAGTGATGGAGCATGGGGTTGCGTGTGTGTGTGTGGGGGGGGGATGGAGCGGGGGGTTGCGTGTGTGTGCGGCGGCAGGGGAGTGATGGAGCGTGGGGTTGCGTGTGTGTGTGGCGGCGGGGGGAGTGATGGAGCGTGGGGTTGCGTGTGTGTGTGCGGCGGCGGGGGGAGTGATGGAGCGTGGGGTTGCGTGTGTGTGTGCGGTGGCGGGGGGAGTGATGGAGCGTGGGGTTGCGTGTGTGCGTGCAGCAGGGGGTGTGTGTGTGCGGGAAGCGGCGCGACGGGGCTTGGAGTGGGCATGGCTTCCGCAGAGGGAACATTGGCCTGAAGGCTGTGTGCGCGCGCCAGGGAACTTGCGGCTGGGCACCAATGCGCATGCTCAGTTGTTTTGCCGTTTTGTGAGTGTGTTGTTGTGTTGTTTTTCATTTTGAGTAGATATGTTTGTACCTTGTGGGTTGTGTTATGGGCATGGGAATTTTGGTTAAGTTTCATTGGGTTTTTTTTTAGTTTTGTTGTTTTGACGTTTTGTGAGTGTGTTGTGTTGTTTTTCATTTTGAGTAGATATGTTTGTACCTTTTGGGTTGTGTTATGGGCATGGGAATTTTGGTTAAGTTTTGTTGGGGGATTTTAGAGTTTTGCTGTCCCGTTGGACTCGCCTAGCAGATTTATATATATAGATATCGGGGTACGATGTCATATGTATGCGGATGATGTCCAACTCTGTTACTCCTTTCCACCTACTACTAAGGAGGCTGTTCAGGTCCTGAACCAGTGCTTGGCCGCTGTGACGGTCTGGATGAGGGCGAACAAATTGAAATTGAATCCAGACAAGACAGAGGTACTCCTGGTCAGTCGCAAGGCCGAACAGGGCATAGGGTTACAGCCTGTGTTGGATGGGGTCGCACTCCCCCTGAAGACGCAGGTTCGCAGTTTGAGTGTGATCCTGGACTCATCGCTGAGCCTGGAACCCCAGGTTTCAGCAGTGACCAGGGGAGCATTTGCACAGTTAAAACTAGTGCGCCAGCTGCGCCCGTACCTTGGGAAGTCTGACTTGGCCACTGTAGTCCATGCTCTAGTCACATTCCGTTTAGACTACAACGCTCTCTACGTGGGGTTGCCTCTGAAGACTGCTCGGAAGCTTCAAATGGTCCAACGATCGGCAGCCAGGATGCTAACAGGAGTGGCACTCAGGGAGCACACCACTCCACTGCTGCGTCAGCTCCACTGGCTGCCAATTTGCTACCGGGCACAATTCAAAGTGCTGGCTTTAAAGCCCTAAACGGTTCTGGCCCGACCTACCTGTCCGAATGTGTCTCCTCCTATGAACCAGTTAGGACATTAAGATCGTCTGGGGAGGCCCTGCTCTCGATCCCGCCGGCTTCACAAGCACGCCTGGCGGGGACGAGAGACGGGGCCTTCTCAGTGGTGGCCCCTCGGCTGTGGAACGCCCTTCCTGCAGATATTAGATCGACCCCCTCCTTGCTGGCATTCCGGAGGAAAGTAAAGACCTGGCTGTTTGAACAGGCATTCAACTAATAGTCAGTGATTGATTGACTGACTATCGGAACACGGAATATCGGAGAACGAGTTTGGATTCTGATTTCATTGATGAGACCTGATGGATTTGCTATATTGATGTACTGATGTATTGATATTGATGTTTAATGATTTGTGATGCTATCGCTTTTAAATGCTTAATGATTTTGTATTGTGTATACCGAAACTGTTGTTAACCACTCTGAGTCGCCTGAGGGCTGAGAAGAGCGGGATACAAATAAAGTAAATAAATAAATAAATAAATTATTAGCATAGTACAATATCAGTATTATATATTACTATATTGTATTACACCATTACAGTGTAATATTATTAGTAATATTACATGTAATATAAATATATATAATATCATATTAATACTATATTATCATAGTATATTATTATATACATACAATATATTAAATAATTATATATAAAATATATAATTATAAAGGTGTATTACTATTATTAGTATTATTAGTATTATATTGTATTACATTATAATATTATAAATAATATATGTTTATACAATATATTACATGCACAGGAGACAAGATGGAACTGTCTTCAACTGTAATAATAATAAATAATAATAATAAAGAATAGCCCTCTCTCCATTCACTCTGGCCAGAGCAGTAGTTGGTGCTGGGGGGGACTCACACACAAAAAAAAGTGGTTGCGCCACTTGGTCCCAGCCGAAGAACAGAATAAATAAAAGCTCCACAGGTCCCCCGACAAAATACCCCCAAAACAGTGGTCACCCACACCGAGGTGGTAAAAAGGGTCGGCAAAGCGACCCCCAAGCCCAGAAGCTGGTGACGAAACGGGAACCACCCACCTTTGTATAAAGAGTACCCCCTTTCCCCGCCCCCCCCCCTCCACCCCCGACCCCCCGGTTAATTCTCAGCAAAAATAACCAACCCCCCAAATCCCCCCCCAAAGTCCTTCAGCAGCTAGTAATTCCCCAAAAATACCCCGCCCCCCCCCTCCCACCCCCCCCCCCCCCCCCCCCCCCCCCCCCAACCCCACCAGTAGTCCCTCCCCCCACACCCCCCCCCACCGACCGACCACCCCCCCCGACAGCCTTTACACACTAGCCCCCCTTTCCCCCCCCCCCCCCCACACCACCCCCCCCCCGCCCCCAAAAGATGATAAAAAGCCCCCCCCCCCCCCAACCTCCAGCTTCCAGAATTCCATAGCATTGAGCCAGGGAAGTTAAAGTGGGGTCAAACTGCATTCATTCTACAGTGCAGATGCAACCCAAACGACCATAGATCAATGTCCTGTATCAAAGCACTCCAAGGCAGACTGAGAGGCAGAACAGGTAATCCTTTAAATCCAAATTAATAGCTTTTAAATCTCTACTGTTCCCTTTAAAGGGAAGTCAGTGTATTCGGTTTTCAATATCTGTGCTTGTACCATGAGCATGAAAGGTCAACTACGAGAATCGTATGTCTCATCAAACTACAACTCCCATGACTCCATAGCATTGAGTCGTGGCAGTTCAATTGCTGTCAAGCTGCATTAATTGGTATTGGTAGCTGTGGCAACCCATGACTTTCCTTCGGAGTCGTCCAGGGTGGAATCTGTAAACAGTGCGTGTCTCCCTGCAGCTGGGTCCCTCGTGGCCTTAAGGGATTTGGTAGAGGCGGAGGGAACGCATTGCCAGGAATTACGTTTTATTCAGGCCAATTTGCTACACAGGATTTAAGATAGATAGATAGATAGATAGATAGATAGATAGATAGATAGATAGATAGTTCTCAGAGGGAGAGAAGAAGAGGCAGGCACAACTCCCTAATGTCAAGGTCCTTCCTCCCTCCCAACTGCCAATGCCCTGGGATTGAGGGAGAGAAGAAAAAGTAGGCAAAGCTCCATCCTGTTTAGGTCCAGGAGTAAAGATGGGGGCTCCTTCCATTCCAACTGCCAATGCCCACTTTTCTATCCCAACTGCCGCTGCCCTGGCACTAGAGAAAGAGAGGAAGTAGGCAAAGCTCCATCATGCCTAGGTACAGGAATAGAGGAAGTGGCTTCCTTCCATCCCAACTGCCAGTCCCCTCTTCTCCATCCCAACTGCCACTGCCCTGGCATTGGAGAAAAAGTAGGCAAAGCTCCATCATGC